CCAGCTGGGAGGACGTGTTGAAGGATTTCTCGCAATCGGGGCATTTGAACGGCTTCTCCCCTGTGTGGGAGCCCTCGTGTATCATCAGGCTGGAGCTGCGGCTGAACGTCTCGCCGCACTGGGAACACTTGTAGGGCTTCTCCCTCGTGTGGACTTTGTGGTGGTTGAGCAGCTGAGTCTTCCGGCTGAAGCTTTTGCCGCACTCGGAGCAGCTGAACGGCTTCTCCCCGACATGGATCCGATAGTGCCGGGTGAGGTCCGAGCTGACGGTAAAGCATTTCCCACACTGCGAGCAGCGATAGGGCCTCTCCCCCGTGTGGGTCCTTTCGTGGGCCACCAATGTGGATTTCAAGCTGAAGCATTTCCCGCAGTCTTGGCACATAAAGGGCTTTTCGCCCGTGTGGGTCCGCTGGTGCGCGGCGAGCACTGTGCTCCGGCTGAAACTTCGCCCGCACACATTGCAAAGTTTCTCTCCCCGGCTTTTGCACCGTCTCTTTGCCACAAAGGTTTGGTTCGCTTCCTTTCTTTCTCCGAAGCAGGGAAAGAAGACATCCCCTTGGGGATGGAGACAGCTCTTCATCCCCGTCTCCCATCCCTTGAGATTTGGGGAGGCATCTTTGTCCTCCTGGGGTTCAGGGTGGGATGCCCAGGAAGTTTCAGAGAGCTTCACTGCTTCCGAATTTTCTACCTTGAATTTCTCTTCTTTCATCTTTGTCACCCACTTGTCATCTGTGGAGGGGAAAAAAACAGTGAAACTCCAGGAACTCTCTTCCCTCAAGGGGACAGAGGGGCACAATCTTTAAGGCAAACAGACGATTCACTTAGAATCACAGCATCACAGAAGGGGTCCTGAGGCCATCAAGGTTGACCCCTGCTGATGGCTGAAACCATTGGCAGGGGTCAGTTTGGTCTAGTGGTGTAGGCCCCAGGCTAGAAAGCAGGAGGCTTTGAGTTCGAGTCCCACCTGAGGCATGAAAGCCAGCTGGGTGACTGGGCCAGTCCCTCTCTCAGCCCAGCCTACCTCACAGGGTTGTTGTGGTGGGGAAAATAGGAGGAGGAAGGAGGATTAGGTATGTTCACCGCCTGGAGTTATTTATAAAAATAATAAAGGTGGGATGAAAAAAATCTTTAAAAATCACGACATCCCTGACAGATGGCTGGCCAGCTTCTGGTTAGACACACCCAGCAGGGCCTAGCACTTCTCTGGGCCACTGGGACCACCACTGAACTGCTTTTCGTAATTATTTGAGGCCCTGGGACAATGGCAGAGTGTCACTGCTGGAGGAGGCAGAGGGAGAATTATTGGCATTTCTTCCCCATTTTGTTTTGTTTTTTCTAAAGTCAGAGCATTCTTCTTAAAAGATGAGTGTCCAGTCTATTTCCCTGCCTTTCTCACAGAGCCACTGAATCTTGCCACCCCTTGTAAGTGGCACAATCTTACCGGATCTTAAGGAATCTCAAAGGATCTGGGGAAGATGCAATGTGCGGGACGACTTCTCTTTCCTGCCCTAAAGGAGAAACGGGCAACCTCCGCCTAGGTCAGTGTTTCTCAAACTTGGCACCTTCCAGGCATTTGAACTACAACTCCCAGAATTCCTCAGTCAGCATGGCCGTTGTT